CCACCCACTCTCACTGATGTCTGCTGCCGCTGTGCCCTTGGCAAGACACTTAACCTCTGGGAACACCAGCCACAGTGGGGCGGCTGCGGCTGTAAAGTGCCAAACTGCCGTTGTGTCCTTAGGCAAGACACTTCACCCCCATTGCTTAGAATGAGTCTGGTGTGTGTGTGAATGGTTGGTGGTGGTCGGAGGGGCCAATGGCACATACTGATTGCCTCGCCTCTGTCAGTGTGCCCCAGGGCAGCTGTGGCTACAGTAGTAGTTTATCATCACTATGTATGGAGTAAATGAATAATGACATGTAAAGCATCTTTGAGTGTCCAAAAAAGCCCAATATAAAACCGATGCATTATTAACATTATTATTATTAAAATGTAGATCTGAAAACATGTAACAAACCTCTGCAGCTCATTCAAAGGATCAGGTCCGAGACACGAATAAACAGAGACAACAGTTCTCTTCTAGAAGCTACAAATGGACAGAAGAGGTATTTGGATAAATGAAAAACATGAATATATCTTCTGATTATTACAATCTAATTTTGGGTCTTCTGTCACACTTTTGTAGCCTTTAGTGTGAACAAGCCCAGGACTAAATAATTGCATTCTCTGCTGTCGCCTTCATTCGCTCTGATCTCACACGACCACAGAGACCACCACCATTCATTATTAACACCACCCCCAATCAAACCCCACCTCAATAACGCCGGACACCTCCATCTCCACTCCCCCCCTTCCGTGACCTTACAACCTGGGAGCCATGGCGACCCCCCCTCCCTCCCCTTCAGTTCCCTTGGTAACGACCTTGGAGGGAGCACTGGTCTGACCACCCCCACCCCCGCGCGCCACTCCGACTGCAGGCAAACCGATCGATATCCTATCACACAGAACAGTGGAGCGGAGGAGAGGGGCAGCGGGCCAGATTACACACCGAGAGGGGAGGGGTGTGAGGGGGGGGTCCAAAAAAGGGGAAAAAAGAGGCTATATATACTATTAGTGTGTGTGTGTGTGTGTGTGTGTGTGTGTGGAATAGGTGTGAGGAAGAAAGGTTTTTAAAGGAGAAAGATGGAGAGGGATGGAGTGGTGTGTGTGTATTGGGGAGGTGGTAATCAAGGGGGTAGGGGAGGGTGTGGGAGAGGCTGGAGAGTGAAGGGGGGGTTTGGGGAGGAGGAAAGGTGTATATGTGTCGGGGGTTCTGCTGGTGGTGAGTGTTTGCGGTTTTAGCGTTAAGGCCAAAGTCGTGATTTCAACCCAATTGGAGCTGGGAGACTGACTTCCTGTAGACGTATCACACCTTCAATTATGAAACATTTTGTAATTCATTTGTTTTTCATTTGCTTTATAGGTGGCGTTGCTGGTGTGTATATACATTTTGAATTGGGTTTTATATGAGTTGAGATGTTATCCTTTTAACAGTGTCTCTCTCAGCATCTGTTCATGGGTGATGCCAAAATGACGACCACGGTATATTGATGATTCAAAGTACCTACATTTGATTGAGAGAATTGTCCTGCATCTTAAATCATTGCATAAATACGACGTCAAAATAAAATGATATTGCAGCTTTAAGATCATACGGATTAAGATTGACAAATTATTTGATATTTCAGTGTTGTATCAGCAGTTACAGAACAATAGGAATGAGGAGCACACAGCACAAGATAAAAGAACAATATCACTACGCTAATATAAAATTCAAACCCTACATTTAGCACAATAAAGAATCAAGCAAAAATACTATTCAAGAAATACATAATTGTATCATGCATATACTTGGACATATCCTATGGCAGGTCATTCTTTCTGAATGTCTGCTTCTTCATCCCATTTACAAACTCCTAATAACTGTTTATATAGTATAGTTGTTGTTTGTGTTAAATGTGTTTGTACATACACTGTAAAGAATTTCCTTGTAGATAAAGTAACAATGTGATATATACATATAGCCCAATGCTGCTTCCGCCATTGGGCGGAATAACTAGAAAGGAATAACTTACCAAAAAGGAGCAGATGGATGACGAAATGAAAGTCCTCACGTGGAGCTTGCTAGAAAAAATGTAATGTCAAATTACGGTAATCACATTGTGAATTTGTGGTATTGTAAAGTTTTTTTGTAATCACATTGTAATTGTGGTAATAAAACGCCACTGGATGTTTTTTAACCAAATTATTCTTAAATCTGCATGTTAGACTTGTTTTTGAAAATAACATTTGTTTAATGTTGAAATTTCACTATAATTTTACAGAAATCTGTTACAGTGTAGTTAATAGAAAAAAAGTCAGGTTCTGTTAACCTCATCATGTGTTCTCTTTCCCTCCAATTTTTGTTTCTAAGTCAGGAAACCAAAATGGCTCAATACCTTTGTGTTAAATAAAATTGCCATCACCTCATCTTCCAGGTTATGAGTTATGAGAGATCTTACTTTCTGTGAGTGACCATTGTACGAAAACTAGTCCACACAACACGTACTCATATTTTGGGATGTTTACCCAAAAAATGTAAGCAATTTTTATAAATATTCAACAGGATGTGACACCAGTTATTCTGTAGCACCTACCAGATACAAGGGCCCTATTCCCAAACAAGAGGCCCAACAGAGGAGAGATCCATCTATTTTCCTCCGCTTCATCTGTTGCCGGGTCGCAGGGGCAGCAGTCTAAGCAGAGATGGCCAGACTTCCCTCTGGGGAGAGTCTTGAGGTTCCAATGTGTCCTGGGTCTTCCCCTGGTCTCTTCCAGGAGGCATAAGCTGCCCCAACTGGCTTCTATCAACATGGAAAAGCAGCGGCTCTACTCCAAGCTCCTCCCGTGTAAGAGCACCTCACCCTTCCTCTAAGGGAGCGCCCAGCCACTCTTCGTACTCTTACTTTTTTAGAAAAGTGCTATACAAACACATCCTCTTCTATTTGACGAGGGAAACATTATAAAGGCTTTATCAGTAAAACCTTGAAAAGCTCCTATGTTTTCAGTTATTGTGCTCTGAAGGTAAACAGGGCCCCTTCCAGCTCATGGCAATGTTCATCAAAATATAAACTTCTTTCAGATGACCAAGCCCGTTTAAAAAAAAATCTGATTCAATGATTTTGTCTTTTTCTTTCTTAATTTTGAACTAGAGACTTTATTATTTTGACATGACTGTACTGTTTATTATTCATTTCATTCAGGAAGTAACATCAGCGGATAAATGACCCGTCACCAAGGCGAGTGACAGTTCTGTAGATGCTCTGCAGCCGAAACATGTTAACATAAAACACCACAAACGTGTCTTTCAAAAGAAACACAAAAAGTTCTATCATTTCATCTTGTTCAACCGACTGTGACTATTTTCAATGATAAAAACAAACCTCACACAACAACAAATGCGTTTGGAGAGCTTCATATCTTTTCATCTTTTCATATCTAGCTGTTGTGGCTCCACCTGTATATGAAAGCCAGATTCTTTAAGATCTCTGAAGCTAAGCAGTGCAGGGCCTGGTTACTGTGATGGGAGACCTCAGAGGCTAAGGCTGTAAAGTGCCAGACCGTCATTGTGTCCTTAGGCAAGACACTTCACCCACATTTCCTAGAATGAGTCTGGTGTGTGTGTGATTGGTTGGTGGTGGTGGGAGGGGGCGATGGCACAGACTGGTTGCCTCGCATCTGTCAGTGTGCCCCAGGGCATCAGTGGCTACAGTAGTAGTAGTAGCGAATGATCAAAAAACAGTACGTTATTATTAATATTAGTTATATTATGATCCAAGTAAGTTTCTGAGTGTAACCTTCTTTAAAACAGACGACTGGACACTAGTGCGGACGTGAAGAGTTGGTCACAGCATTTATTTCCATTTTCTGACAAAACTCACACAAAACCAAACGGAGACCAAACTGAAAAAAGAGAGATCCTTCTAGTTTATTTCATGTTTTTATAGATATACTCTTCTTTTTCTGTTTACGTCTGTTTCACACACTTTTACCGCACAGTGTCTTCTATCATAGTTTTACACATTCATTGTTTTTCAAATGCTGAAATTGGTGCGAAATCTCTTTTTCCAAAGACACAAAGATTGTATTTTTAAACAGGGGGAGGGAAAGGGAAGGAGGGGTTTGGGGTTTAGAGGATGGTGCAATGGTGAAGGGGACAGTTCTCACAGTGTACACAAATATACCAACAAGTAAGGGGAGACCAACAGGCAGGGGGAGGGCCATCAGGGGTGGGGCAACTGGGGAGGAACATATTCATTGTGTGCTTTGTCATGTCCAAATGAAAACAAGCAGCTCAAAGACCTACTCCGAACGTAAAAAAAACCCGAATGAATACAAAACTTGTAATCAAAGTAATAGAAAGGGGTGAGAGGAATGTTGACCAGCCTGTAGGGGGGGCTAGTGAGTTGGCAGTAGAAGACTGGCAGTGGCATCAGAGTGATCATCAATAAAAAAGGGTGCTTATTTCTAATGGCAGTGAGTGTAAAGCTAACTGCTAAAGCTACAAGAGATACAAGATGGCGTCCGTTGCAAAAATTGACCCATGGAAGTGTAATAAAAACCACGGATTGCCCTTTTTATCTAAGCTCCAGACCAAGCTGCCGAGTGGTTTCTCTGCACACCATGAGAACAAAATGCAACCCACACAAGAACCTTTTCTATTTTGCAAACTGCGAACTTTATCACAAATGACTCAACAGTAGAATTCGCAACGGCACAAACAGTGAAACTGGCAGACTAGTGCTGTTCAAACTTTAGATTGGAAATGATAGAGGGAGAAATAGAGGGAAAGGGGAAGGCGGGGTAAAGATTCTCAAAAACACCAGAAGCCCCAGTCTCCGTCCTCTCCCGACCCGCGCTCCCCCCGAACTCTTGCCGGGTTTTTATAGATTTTAAAACTTGGGAGATGAGGGCGAGGAGAGGAGATGGGAGAGGCAGATGTGGGGGAGTAAACATCTTGAACGAGTGAAAGTGGAGGAAGAGGAGGAGGAGGAGGAGGGGGAGGAAGGGACAGAAGAAAAGGATGTTCTGATCATTTATTCAGTAATAAGTTTCTTTTTCAACCCAGCCTGAAAGAGAAAGAGACAAGAGAAAGAGAGGATTATTAGGTGTCCATGTTTGCAGCAGTTTTATTAGCAGACAAAGATGTGTGGACAAAAACTAATTAAAATGAAAAAGGTTCTATGGATTCCAAAGTATCTGTGCACTGAAAACTATATCTAAATACAAAGTCTGAGAACTTCAAACATACAGGTGAGACTTAGAAATTTAGAATATTGTTCAAAAGTTGGAGAAAAAAAGTGAAAGCAGTATGTTATATGGACTCAAGTGACATCAATCTTTTGTTTTTTTGTTATAATTTTTATGACTATGCCTAATTTTCTGATATTTTTGTTGTTGTTTTTCTCTACAGTCAGCCAATCATCATAAAAAAAGTAACATTATTATAAGTATCATAAAAAATAAACATCTCACTTTGCCTGTATTGAGGCCGTCACGTCTCTCAGTTTCTAATTGTAAGTGAATTTACAGACATAACTTGTTGAATGATTGTAGATTATTTTTGAGTTTCACCTGTGCATTGGAATATAAACGATTGTTTTTGCATTTATTGAATAAGGACTATCCTAAACTATGATTCATATTTAAGTTCAGGCTGTATAAATGACTGCTCCTACATTCACTGCATCATTATTGAGGATAAACGAGAGCTAAGTCCAAAACTAGGACTACATGGACCTGAACACAGAGGACTCTAAACCTAGTCCTGAACCACCATGCTGATGCAGACTCACCTCCTGGGTTTCGGCGAAGGATGAGTTTTCTGATCTCATCATAAACAAAGATGAGGAAACTGTAGGGGAAGGCGCAGAACCACCAGCTGGGCCTGAGGACAGAGCAGAGGGTTAGAGGAGAGGTTCAAGATCCACAGACGTGACCATCGTTCTGCTGCGGCCAACGCACTTGAGTGGGAACATCCGTAGAGCCAGGTCCATCCCAGGGCAGTAGGACAGGAAGGCAGCCAGAGCCGTCTCCTCAAACAGCCCAAAGATCAATATCTTATTCCTGTGGGGCAAATGTGACAAATGAAATTACAACCACAATTCATTCACTTTATACATCTGTTCCATGATACGAGATCAATAAACCAGGAGACAAGATTAAAGACAGTCATTTGCAATTGTGCCCGTAAAATGTCTGTTTGCTTGATTTGAAACGACGTCTCCAGAGCTGGGGAGGTGAAACTCTAGTATCTAGGTCCATCTAGTGGCTGAAGAATGAACTACATCTTTTTCTCTTTTTCAAATACTCAAGATGAACAATGTAGAATTTAGGTTTTTCATAAATAATAATTGTGTTACAGACCAGAACAGGCTTCATCTTTTTAGAAAACATTTTATCTTTTGCAAACTTGTAAGCGTCATTATATAGTCTCTTTTGGCTGAAAGCTGAATGAGTCTAGTAAAGCTGATTTAAGACCAAAACTTACATACAAGTGCAAACTAGTGATAGAACCAACTGTTTTGAGAGTGAAGAAAGTTAAACCCCAACTTTAAGCATTAATTTCTCTACCAACAAGGTTATGTTTTCATCTGGGCTTGTCTGTTTGTCTGTTAGTTAGCACAGCAGCTAAAATATGGTGATCTGGATCAGCGTGTGGATCTAGGAATATTCTTAAAGGAATAGAACTGCGTTTCTTATGCATTAGATTGAACTCAAAGTGCTCAGTAGGGGCTAATCTTAACGTGGTGTGAGAGTAGAGCTAAATGAAGCCTCACCTCATGCCCTGCTGGAACACTGAGTTGCGTCTGGTCTTACAGATGATGACGTCGGCCCATTGCACGACCACGATACTCACAAAGAAGGCAGTGTGGCAAGTGAACTCCACGATTTTTCTTTGTTCGTACGTCTGCACCACAGAGAAGGGAATATAATAATAACACACACAGTGAAAAAGGTCTTGCCTTCAGACTAATAGCTTCTTTCTGTCATATTGTTAAGTAAATATGTGAGAGTTAAGGTTTCCTGTACCCATTGCTGTCCGTAGCTGTCCTCCAGGTCGTTGTTGGAGCGGTCGTCCCAGTTCAGCCTGATGCCCACCAGGTGCGAGGGCAGGAAGCCGTTCTCAGCCATGATCACAAAGTACGCAAAGAAGCCGCCCAGAGCCTGGATCATACCTGCACCCAGGGACCAGAGGATCAGGACTGTATACAATATCTGTATACAATCTGTAATTGGATTTTCATAAGACATGTTGAAAGAGGTAGAATCAGCATCAGTATAGATAATAAACGATAAATAATGTCCATAACTAGATTGAAATGAGATCCTCTAAACCTGGATCACCTGTGGTCCACAGTCTCGGTGTTATGGGGGTGGTAACGCACAGCAGTGTGAGTAAAATGTGTGTGGTGTGTTTGTACCGATCTGTCCGTATGCGATGCTGATGAGCCTCTCGTTCACCAGCTTGTCTCTGGCCGGGTTTCTGGGCTGCCGCTTCATGATGTCACTTTCTGCTGCTTCATAAGCCAAAGAGATGGCAGGCACCTGGACACGAGCACGGCACAGGGTCAGGGCGCCAAAACAACTACTCTTTAATGCATACAATGTAAGGCTTACAGGTGGAACTGGTCAAATTAGAATATCTTTCAAAAGTAAATTTTCTCATGTAATTCAAATTTAGGGTGAATGTCCTAAATAAAATAAAATTTTGAACTTTTTCACACCCTGAGCCTAAGCAAATTCCTTGTTTGTGACTTCCTGTTACTTACAATGGCAATATACAAAATTAAGATTCTGATATTCTATTTTTTTGAGTTTCACCTGTAATAGTTTATATTTTCTTGGACTCACAAAGCAATAAAGAACATTGTGCATATTTAAAAAGATCTCAGGTCAGATCGGTTGGACTTATTTTGCTTTTTACAACACATAATACACTATTTACTTTAAGTCACAAAGTTTAGGTGAAGTTACCCTTTCTAGATTTGATTTATAATTGTTATTATCGCTCCCCTCACCATGTCTGTGCCCAGGTCGATGCAGAGGATGGTGATGGTGCCCAGTGGCAGAGGGATGTTCACCAGGATGAAGAACAGAAAGGGGGTGATCTCTGGGATGTTGCTGGTCAGAGTGTAGGCGATGGACTTCTTCAAGTTGTCAAAGATCAGGCGACCTGTCAGGAAAACAAGACATCAGTGCACTGCTGCTGGACAGAGAGACTCAGCATTGGACAAGCATTTAAAGAATTGCTTTTTGGTTCAAAATTGAGTCTTTTGCTGCAAAATGTAGTTCACTGCCAATTATTGCACCCTGGTATTTTAAAGCTGCACTAACTGACTTTGGGATTTTGAAGCCGCGGACCCGCTGGCCTCGCTCTTTCTGCTCCCCTCCCCGCACCCACGAAGCTATCGCCCCCCACACACACCCACTGTTGGGACGGAGCTAGCGTCTCCCAATATGGATAATACATGGATATGGATTTGCACGTGGATGGCGTGACCATAGAACGATACAACCGGGAAGCGCGGAGGAAAGGGACTTTCTTTTGGATGGCTGTCTCGCTGTGTAAGCAGTAACCGGTGACGAAGACAAGGAAGTTTCAAGTTAGCTCCTCGGCTTGTTGTGCTAACTCAGCCGTCTATGCTAACGGACCTGTAGATTTTTCACGAAAGTGGGGGCTAGTGGTCCGCTGTGATTGGTCACAATCAGAGACCCGAAACACATTCTCTTCCTTGTTTCATCAAAACTCGATCTAAAATATAATGTCACGCCAGCACAAATCTGCGCTACTTTTTCTTCAAAAGGACGTATATCCCAATGCACTGCATGGACATGGATAGCATTTTCGTAATGAATACAATAATAAAGTCAGTTAGTGCAGTTTTAATTCAGTCTAGCATCTTCTTGAATCATAAGGGAACTGCCACAAGAGGGCGACATAAATAGACACGTTAAAACATTCAGACCCTTTGGTAAAAAAGTCTGAATGTTCCAGAACCATCACAGGTCCCCAGCTGCGCCCATAGTAGCCTCAGTCCTCATTCTGCAGTCTGACTCCAGGATCTATAGCCTCCCTGTTTGTGAGAGCAGATCGCTCTGTAAATCTGGGCCTCCCAGAGGTTTCTTCATTTTTGTTGTCTGTTTTTTTTATATGGACTATTTCTGTGTCTGAATTACAGAAAGAATAAATAAATAAAATAAAACAAAATAAAAATACACACCTAAAAATAAAGCCTGGGATTTGTCGCTCCCTCGTGTGTTTTGTCTCACCTTCCTCAACGCCGGTGACGATGGAGGCAAAGTTGTCGTCGAGCAGGATCATGTCTGCGGCCTGTTTGGACACGTCGGAGCCGGAGATGCCCATGGCCACGCCAATGTCCGCCTTCTTCAGGGCCGGAGAGTCATTCACACCATCTCCTGTTACTGCCACGATGGCTCCCTGAACAAACAGCAACATTCAGTCACGTGTGGAAGACAGACACCAGAACTGAAATGAACAGTATTTTATATTTCAGTTGGATTTACTCTACACCAGATACTGATATTCAGGGCAGGACCGAATATCTGTGTGTGTGTGTGTGTGTTAGGGATGTAAAAAAACTATGAATTTTCATGACCGACCACCAAGCCTCATTAACCGGTTGAAACCGGTTAACCGCGTAGTTTAAAATATTCCACGTTCTTTGAAATAACAGCCATTTCGAGCCGCGTACTTTTCATAAGTGCAGATATGCGTTCTACTGGATCAGAGCCGAGACAGCGGCGCCAAAACCCGCAACAGCTTCGGCACCTTTGCGCACAGAGAACTGCTTTTTTAATCTTCCCATTCTTCTGTGCTGCGGGTTAAAGCTTTATAGCAGCAAACAACGGCTCGTTCACATGGTCAGAGCAGCGAGTGACGAGCCGCGTCTCGCAGGTCTCCGCTAAAATTTAAATACCAATGATGTGTGTGGAGCTGATCTAATGACAAGGACCATCAGCACACACATGGTCCATGTGGTTTGACTGGAGCCGTGTATTTGCAAGAATGCTTTGGGCTCCGTGACACAGAGGAGCGCAACATGGGTATGTGTGTGTGTACAATACATGTATGTGTGTGTGTATGTGTATGTGTGTGTAAATGTAAGCTCCAATGTAGTTCTGACCCGCGCCAGTGTGCAACTTTGGCGGTAACAGAGGGGAGAGATGATGCGTTGATGTTACGTATCAATGGAGGGGGGGAAATGTGTGTGTGTGCGTGCATGTGTGCGTGCATATGTGGCGTGTGCGGCATCAAAGTCGGCTCGGGGTTTACTACATACAATACATTTGCATGATTTTGCCGTGTGGCTGCGCACCACACACTGTACGACCAAAGTGGTTAGACCCGTGATTTTTTATCTCCGTGTGTGGGGTCTCACACGGAGAAAAAAATTGGCCGACAATTTTAAAATTGTCTCATGTGAACCAGGCTTTACTCCGCCCACATGAAGATTTTAAAATCTTCTCTAAAAAGGGCGTTGCCTGGAGGACCAAGGGACAAGAAGGGGGGCTTAGAGTTGGGCGTGGTCTGGGCTGTGATTGACAGCTCACTTCAGCTCACAAAAAAAAACAGACAGTTGTCATTGCTGCTTAAAGCAATAGTTTACACACCAGAAAGTCTCATTCCACCCTTGATTACACACTAAGAGAATTGTAAAGCTACACACCTGAACCTAATCACACTCAATAATCTCAGAATTCCTCATGTAATTTAATTTTAATCCACTAGATGGCGCCAGAATACTCCAACCTGCACCTGGGGCGTGTGTGAGAGTTGAATGGGTTTATACAAGCCCCGGCGATCCAAGATGGCGCCCTATTCAAATGACTGGTTGTGCTCAGTGGCGTGACGGCATGGGGGCTGAAAGATTAGCGGAAGTCGCCTGGAACTCGCAAAGATCTATGGGAAACTCGCCTGTATTTGGGCATCGTCTGGTCCTCCCGGTTCTGCGCAGTGGATGATCTCCCATAATGCGTTGGGCCAAACACGCGTGTGTGGGTCTCACACCGGGTCTCACGCACGTGCACAGAGGGGCTCGGCCGCGCTCTGACCAATCAGAGCAGTTCATCAGAGCGGGAGTTAGAGCGAGAAAATTTCTGGGTAGCCCACGTGAATTTAGTCTGGTCTAGTCTGCAGTACCGCGAGAATCCCCTGAGCACATGAGTTATTCAGCTACAAGCTAGTAATACCCTATCCAGTTATTATAATAGATCCATGGGTTTATATCACTGGCACGTCACACACAGCACCTGACGTCATAGAGAATTTCAGAGTCAATGGAGAGGCCAGAACCATTTTCAAATGTAGTACCACCAAAAAAAGTAGAGAGGGCGCCACACAGAAGTTTTTTGGCTCAAAAGTGATATTTTATCTAATTTGAACTAAAATGTCAAAAAAAATGGCCAGGATATGTAGAGAGCACTACAATAAACATATTTATGCAGTTTATGAGTTAAAATAAAAGTTGATTTTTAGTCGCTCTTTAAGAGACGTCCCCTCTCCCCCTTTTCTTTTTTTTAACTGACAGCTTTGACCGGTTAACGCTGTGACGGTCAACCACCGGTTAAACGGTCACCTATTTACATCCCTAGTGTGTGTGTGTGTGTGTATTGATCCCCGCTGAGAGACTTTAAATAAGTATTGGACCAGGTGGTGAAACATAAACATTATTCTAAACATTACATTTGAACTTACAGATATAAACACATACTTTATATATTTATACCGTGTTTCTTTATAAAGCTAAAGATAGAGATTTTATTTTATTTTGCTAAGTATAGAGTTGCGCTATAATCCCTTATTGCGTGCTACTCGTTCCCACTGTTCTGTAACTGGTGATGCAACACTGACGTTTGTGGGACTCTGGGACAAATAAAGGATCTCTTTACCTTAATCTTAATTCACTGACAAGTCGAGCTTCATACTGCTGTTAAATAATTGTATGACGTGCAATAGATCCTTCAAACTGAGTGTCACCCCAGTGTCTGTCTCTGTTCGATTTGTCTTAGTGGAGTTTGGCTCAGACCTGTCGCTGGCAGCCCTCCACGATGATGAGCTTCTGCTGGGGGGAGGTTCTGGCGAAGACGATCTCTGTGTGGTTCTTCAGGATGTCGTCCATCTGGTCCTGGGACAAGTCCTTCAGGTCGGTGCCGTGGATCACACAGGCCTTGGCATCTCTGAAAACCAGACCAGACATCAAACTGTTTACACAACACAATACTAGAGAAATAAGGTGATTAACACAGAACAATGCTACAGACATGAGGTGATCTATGCAGGTTTATCAGCCCATAGTCTGTGATTATCTGTGCTTTAATCAGTCTCACTCACATGTGCCCAAAGTGGGGACCAGGTGGCACATCAGATTTTTTGGGGAAAAAAAAGGTTTGATTAATTATGCACAGAAACAAAGATGATAAAAGCAAAATTATGGGACTCTCTAATATCTTTGTCATTCGATCCGGGCAAAGAGGAGGGAAATTGTGATTAAGAGGTATTAGATTAAGTTAACGAATGGTCAGGATGGATGGACAGTATATTTGGCTAACGTTGCGGTTGGGGAGAGATGATCATTTGTCATTGATGTAATAAACATTGATGGTCAAATAATCCCAGTTTCCACCAGCCCTACTCTACTCAGCTATTCTCTTCCTGGTTGTGTGTTCATTACGCTTTAGTATCTAGTACTGTATTCTAGCAAACTACCCACAACAAACCAGTAACTTCCTTGGTAACCATGGCTTCGAGCTGCACTCTGGCCAATCACTGTCAGTTGGAACAGTTTAGAACCAGCTCAGCCTGGATTGAACCAGGACCAAGAGGGTCTGGACTAGGGATGTAAAAAACTATGAATTTTCATGACCGACCACCGAGCCTCATTGACCGGTTGAAACCGGTTAACCGCGTAGTTAAAAATATTCTACGTTCTTTGAAATAACAGCCATTTCGAGCCGCGTACTTCTTATAAGTGCAGCTCTGCGTTCTACTGGATCAGAGCCAAGACAGCGCCGCCAAAACCCGCAACAGCTTCGGCACCTTTGCGCACAGAGAACTGCTTTTTTAATCTTTCCATACTTTTGTGCTGCGGGTTCACACTTCTTAGCAGAAAACAACGGCTCGTCCACATGGTCAGAGCAGCGACTGACGAGCCGCATCTCGCAGGTCGCTAAAGTTTAAATACATGTGATGTGTGTGGAGCTGATGTCAAGGACCATCAGCACAAACATGTTCCATGTGATTTGACTGGAGCCGCGTATTTGGATACTTTGGGATGCGTGACACAGAGGACCGCGACAGACCGGTATGTGTGTGTGTATGTATCTGTATGTGTGTATAAATGTAAGCTCTAATATAGTTCTAACCCGCGCTAGTGTGCAACTTTGGCAGACAGAGGGGAGAGATGATGCGTGTGGATGTTACCGATCAATGGAAGGGGGAAAGTGTGTGTGTGTGTGTGTGTGTGTGTGTGTGTGCGCGAGTGCGTGTGCATGTGGCGCGTGCGGCAGGAGAGTCGGCCCGGAGTTTACTGATACATTGGCGCACACAGCTAGAGACAGACCCGCTCGTCACACCGTGCAAATAGGGCTTAGGATAGCGTTATTAAGAGACCTCCCCTCTCCCCATTTTCTCTTTTTTAACCGACAGCTTTGACCGGTTAACGCTGTGACGGTCAACCACCGGTTAAACGGTCACCGATTTACATCCCTAGTCTGGACAGTGATAGTGATGCCTTCCCTGACCCAAACCCAAACTGTCTAATTTCAACAGGACTGATTTAAAATAGTATTGTGTTGTGTTTGTGTGCTACCTGGGGTTGACTTGGCTGACGGGGATGTTGAGCCGTAAAGCGATGTCTTCTACAGTCTCGTTGCCCTCGGAGATGATGCCCACTCCTTTAGCGATGGCCTTCGCTGTGATGGGGTGGTCTCCGGTCACCATGATGACCTGAGAGGAAGGACACACACAGATGTTAGCACCCTGTCTGTGATATATGCAGTACACATACAGTTCCCCAGAGCGAGGAAGTTGTGTCTTAAGTAGAGTAGAGCAGACCTTGATTCCGGCAGATCGGCACTTGCCCACAGCGTCAGGGACCGCGGCTCTAGGAGGGTCAATCATGGACATCAGCCCCACAAAGCACAGTTCGTCTGTTTGGAAGTTCACGTCATCTGTGTCAAACGCAAAACCTTTGGGGTATTTCTCCTCGGACATGAACAGATGGCAGAACCCTGGACAAACAAGAGCAAAGAATGACCTGTGAGTCAATGGAAATGCCATTTATTAGCAGTATTAGAATTCTATCTTCTATTCATTTTCTTCCACTTTATCCGTTGCCAGGTCTCTGGGAAAGCAGTCAAGCAGAGACGCCCAGACGTCCCTCTTTACACACACTTCAGCAGTGACTCTACTCCAAGCTGTGACTGAGCTCCTCACCCTATCTCTAAGGGAGCGCCCAGCCACTCATATATTTTCCTGTGAATCCCAATTTGAACCTTTGGGCTGAGAATGACCTGTTGTTGAAATTTTCTGTCTGAAAATTCTGATCCCAAGGCCAAGAATACATGCACGTGAAAACTAGTGACAGAAACTGTTTTTAGAGTGAGGAGCAAGCTGTTATTACAACATTTATTTATCTGTGGCTTGAAAGTTAGGTCCCCCAGCTTTAACAAACAGGGAATAGAGTTTCTCACCCAGCACCCTCTCGCCAAGGCCTCCCAGCTCCAGGTAAGCGTTCTGAAAAGACTCTTTCATCTCGTCGTCCATGGGCTGCTCTTTGCCCTGGACCATGATGGTGGTGCAGCGGTCCAGGATCCTCTCTGGCGCCCCCTTCATGACCAGCAGGTAACGGTTGTCGTTCTCGTCCTCTGTCTCATGGATGGAGAGCTGCAATAGAGGTTCAAAGCATAAGAATTTGTCCTTCTCTTACAGGGAATCTATTGTCTTACATTGAATAAAATATTGTCAACATTGAAATGCACGTCCACACAATCTTGGAAATCACAAATGAAATCCTATCAAATCTTGTACGATGCATAAAGTAGTACTCTCTTTTATGATAGATTTTTTAAGAGAATATTTCATAATGCTGAAAACTCAAGTGCACCTACACAAATTAGAGCAATACAGTTTTATCAGATATTCTACATGAAAAAGACTAAAGATAGAGCCCTGAAAATGTAAAGAGATAAAGATGTAACCAATAGCAGAAATATATGTAAGAGGGAAGTAGGTCGCTGTATAGAAAGTGTCCTGGATTCAGAGGCTCATTCTGCAAGTTTGGTGCCTAAAGGTGCCTATGCTGTGGCACCAAGTCAGAATAAGATAAGATGTAAGCCTTTATTGTCTCCAGATGAAGAAAAGTGTCTTAGGGATCAGAGGAAAAAGAAAAAAGTCACATACACAGACGAATGCAGGACAACACAAGTACATACGTGCATAGAATTCAGAGCAAGTGAAAAAGGCATTGAACATAAACATCCAAACGGTCTTAAGAAAACAACCATTACAGCATCCCCTACATGGCCCTAAAGTGCATTTTACTGCCCTACTCCTAATGGCCTCGTAACAGTTATATTGCATCTCCCCAATTGACCTTAAAACAGTGCAGTAACTATTGCATGCCTCCTTCATATAAAATGACTATAAAATGTCCCCAACTGGGCTAAATATGAAGTTAATATAACCCTATAAAACAAAGTGGTTGTGATTACAAACACGGCACGCTAAAGACGACTGTGAATACAGTGCATCTCAAAAGTATTAAAACAGCTTGAACTTTTGTCATGTTTACAACCATAAAAATAAAAGGTTTTATAAAGATGTTTTCACTGAAAGTTCACACACATGTAACAGACAACTGTGAAGTGAAAGTAAAATTATTCATGATTCTTTTTTTCTTTTTTTTTTTTAAGTAGAAAACCAAACACTTGGGCCTGTACAAACACGAGTTAATTGTTTGTGGATCTCCATTTTGCTACAATAACAGCAGCAAGTCTTTTGTGGTTTGACTCTACAAGATCTGCACATCTAGAGACATATTTATCCCATTCCTCTTTACAAAACAACTTGAATTTGATGGAAATTAGATTGTGAACAGCAGTTTTCAGGTTCTTCTACAGATTTTCTATTGGATTTAGAGGCAATTCTAACACGAATCTGTTTAGTTTTAAACCATTTCATTGTAGCTTTGTGTTTAGGGTCACAAAGACAGGCCATTCCTGTGAAACCTATATGTTTGATCAGTGTTTTAGTGTTGTTCTGACCTGGTACTTGTTGGTGGAGTTGAAGGGAATCTCCGCCACCTTCTTGTTCTTGTCCCTCATGACTTTGACGCCGCCACACGACAGCTCAATACATTTGAGCAGCGCAGACTCGGATGCGTCTCCGGCCACCTCCCTCTTCAGGATGGGCAGAGAGTCCTGTCCTGCCTTGAACACGGCTCGGTTACACAGAGTGGCGACTCGGGCCAGAGACACCCAGGTGGCGGAGCTCTTGTCGAAGGAGCAGCCTGCAGAAAGAACACATGGATTCAGGGTTGAGTTGCTTCAAAGGTACAATACATGTTCACGCTAGTTCAGGCTACTGTGATGTGAGGCATTACTTGACACTTTATGTTTTCAGACAAATATTGTATAGTTTAGGTGAGATAGAGTTCAGAAAAGTCAATAAAACCAAATAGCTCAGTAACTCTATTAACATTACATAACAGAACATTAATTTTGTACATTGTTCCTTGAAATGTATTTTTTGAAGGCCAAGAGAGACACTACAGAAACACTCTCCTGACTCTGGTCGGCACGTTACAATAACATGTCTTAATAAAATGAAAGGAGAAATATTACAAAGTAAAAAGGAACTGAAACAAACAACTCAATGATTGAAACAATAGTTAACTGTTTTAAGCCTCATTCAAAGTAAGTCAAGGCGCAACTTTTCTCTTTGACTTCCAACACCAAGAAACAAATGTACATGTTTCTTGTATTTTAACCTGTTTTTATTGCTGCTGTTTTTCACTTGTTCGTACAGCACTTTGGAAAGCCTACGGCTGTTTTTAAATGTGTTTTACAAAAGAGGGTTTTTTTTTCTTTACTGCATTCTACTGCATTTTAGAACACATCCTATTGTACTTAGTTATATTCTATAGATACAAACTTCGTTTTACAGTAGGATTATTATAGAACTCAATCACCATGTCGACTTCTACGCATGCCATAAACATAAACTTCTACTTTGAACATATAAACCTGAGCTTCTTTCTCTTAAGCTCAAATTATTTTAGTTGCAGATCTACATGATTGACATAAATTACCTTTTCTTGTCGTAAAAAAGGTGAAGTTTGCAGGTATGAATAAGTGTGCGACTGAGTAGAAACAGTCATCGCTGCGAGGATTTGCTGCTGAACTAAACGTTCTGTGTCCCCTCACCAGACTGGTCCTCTGTGGTGTCGGCCTCGTGGATCTGGTTGTCGAACCACATGTGGGCCACAGTCATGCGGTTCTGAGTCAGGGTCCCGGTTTTGTCGGAGCAGATGGTGGAGGTGGATCCCAGCGTCTCCACCGCCTCCAGGTTCTTCACCAGACAGTTCTTACGCGCCATTCGCTTTGCCGTCAGAGTCAGGCAAACCTGCGGGAGGACGGAACAAAGACACGGTCAAACACATGCATTTTTGACAGACGGAAATTAGTAATGCTTGATGTGAAACAGACATGATCACCTCCAGGTTGCTTTTGCTAAGAATACTTAATTTAAAGGTTTGGTATATACCTGAAGATGCTCATATTGTTCTATCAAAATGCATGAAGCACAGTCCAAAGAGCGAATGCAGAAAGCAGTGGTGCATCAGAAATCATGCTAAAAGTATGACATGAGCCACGGCCGAAAAACAAAAGCAGCAAAGTTTTATCAAGCAGAGAAGGTCCAATTCAATTCTACTTATAATCTTATGCTTATATTCTACAGTTATTACATTTAGCCAGTCGTGGTGAGGGCAGAGAGCGCCGTTAAGTGACTGGCCTGAAAGACAAACACATAGGTAGAAAGAGAGAGAGACACTTCAGAGACAAAAAGAGGAGGAGTAGGAGGAAAGAGGAGAGGGTCAGCACAGAACACCGTCACACACAGAGATGTAAAAAAGCACAAAGATTCACAAAGCCACCGGGACACCAGAGCACAGAGGAGAGAAGCGACCGCATGAGCCACATCACTGCACAACACCAAACACTCACATACACTGGAATACACAAAAACACATTTACTTTAACAACAACAACAATACAAGGGATTTAAACATGTGTGGTTTCAACAAAAGTAGAAATCAGGGGTCAAATTATCATCACAACTTCTATTATAACCAATCATTTAATATTTTGATTAAAAAAGATTAGATCCAAAATTAACTATGTATGATCCCAAGTCAAATTTTAAAGTTTCCAGTTTAGTACGGGTTTGACTCAGACTTACTAACTTTTTTATAAGCGATTCATTTGAGCCTTCATTCTCAGAACAGCTTCAGGCTCCATTTTGGTTTTAATAGTTGGCCGACGTCCTTAATCTATGCCTCGTCTAATTTAAGATGAAGATCAAAACAGCACTGGAGGATTTGGTATAGTCTACATAGGATAAAGAGAGAGAGGCACAATGTTCATATGTCAGACTAAGATATTAAGTTGTCTTTATTTAGATTTCACAAACCAAGGTCATACAAAGCCCTTTGCTATGTTGCTGGTCCTAGGAACCAATTTTTTTTCAACTGTTGCATTACATGTCAATTCATCTACTTATCTATTTAATCTACTCATATTCCACTTAAATATCTATCAAAATATATATTGCTATTGCTATAGAATTGATATATAATGATAATCGTTTCATTATAAGACATTTACAGTAAGCATCTCTATATTTTGTGTGTTTCTACTGTCCTGTATGTGCACTGCAACACTGAAATTTCCCGCTGTAGGGTGATAATTCACAACTTAATTTCCTCATAATTAGCCTACTCATGAATAGTTGTAATTTAAGGAATGATATGGGACAGCAGCTGAAAATAGACAATACAAGACAATAATTGTTTGATTAATTTTTCAAATTAAAAACCTTGTCGAGTTTCTCCAACTTTATATTAGAGTTGTGTTTGTGCTGGACTCACGGTGACAGTGGCCAGCAGACCCTCGGGCACGTTGGCCACGATGATGCCAATGAGGAAGATGACGGCCTCAAGCCACGAGTATCCCAGCGCAATGGAGAGGATGAAGAAGGAGACGCCCAGGAACACGGCCACGCCTGTGATGATGTGGATGAAGTGCTCGATCTCCTTCGCAATCGGAGTCTGCAGCAAAAAAATCAGTTATTTCTATCTGCGTTTCAAATGGAAATCGAATCTCAGAAGTAAATCATGTTCAGATAATGTAAGATTAGTTTGTATGTATCGACGTGTTTGAATAATAAAGCCAAACTAGTTTCAGACACAGTTACGTATGTTCATGTTCATAGTCGTACCTTGCCGGTCTCCAGGCCTGAGGTGAGGGTGGCAATGCGCCCCATCACCGTGTGGTCACCGGTGCAAACCACGATACCACGGGCAGTTCCTGAACACAGACAATACAGAACATTTAGCAACAAAAACATTCTTAATCCAAAAGGAAATTATCTAATTCTTTATGAAACAAATTACAGGATAAAAGCCCCTCTCTAACAGCCTCACTCTGGTTTTATAGTTTGCAAAGGGCTGCTGAACTTCACACCTATAAGTTGGTTTTAAGATACACAGTGAGGAGGCACAGGGTTGTAATGCAGAGGAGCGGTAGTAAATTGTTAACAAAAATCAAACAAAAAATCTTGTCTATGTTTCTCAAAGGAAAAGAACAGGATAATACAAGAGAAGTGCACAGTTAAAGTGGGAGGAGCAGAGGACCACAGCTAAAATACACTGTTCAAATCCAACACAGATTTGACTGTAGCCTCCTGTAGTCACCACTAGAGGGCACCCTGTCTTTGTACTTCCACATGTGGCTTGACACTATGACCTGTGCTGAGAGCAGGTCATAGTCACAACACAAACACTCCACAAGAGACACACAGAGGGAGCCATCTGTGTTTACAAATATGTGATGTTTCACAGATGAAAAACAGATGAAAAATGCAATTGTTTGAAAGAAAAAAGTCTAAATGTCGGTGATGGTGATGATGCAGCTCAAACCTTCCACACAGTTGGTGGAGAAGAAGGCGATGTTGCGAGTTTCCAGGGGGTTGTCGTGGGTACAGTCAGGTGACCTGGTCTGGGGCTCGGATTCGCCGGTGAGAGAGGAGTTGTCCACCTGCGAAAAACAACAGTATTATTGCACACTGACAGATTGACCCTGAAATACCAAACAGAAAAAAATTGTAGCTGATTTCTGTTCTGTTCAAGCAAAACACTCAAATTAATACATTGTCTCCATAAGTCTCCATTGAATAAATATCCATGATATCTGATCTGACTGATACAGTAAACTGAGAATAATGTGAGAGGAGCTGGGGGCACATTCACCTTGCAGCCGTGAGAGGAGATGACGCGTAGGTCGGCGGGGATGCGGTCTCCACCCTTCACCTCCACCAGGTCTCCTGCCACCACCTGCTCTGCGTTGATCTGCATCTTCTCTCCCTCGCGGATCACCAGAGCTTGCTGAAAATTAACAGGTTGCTCATTACTCGAAGAAGCAGGATGATTCTGAAGCAGGATGATTCAGGATACAGTCGTTTGTCCAACACTAACCCTGGTTTAGTCTATTAATCGGTTGATGGTGTCTTTGTCGAATAAAATGTCTTCGGAAAAAAAGAATGAGTCACAAGTTTCTAATGTTTTTTATAGAATAATAGTTTTTAATTTAGTCGACTAATTGATGGACAGGGCATGGCAAAAATGTATTTGTTTGATTACAGCTCAAGGAAAACTATTGTAGTATAGATTTGAATTGGTTTAATCATCCACTGGAACAGACTGATAAAAATGTGCCTGTGGCATTACACAATTATCACTTAATAATTCATTCATACAACTGTATGCACAGGTCCTAAAGGAAGGTGGATCCAGATCTCAGGGATAGTTTTACCTGTGGGACCATGTTCTTAAAGGACTCCATGATCTTGGAGCTCTTTGCCTCCTGGAAATATGAGAAGCAGCCGGTGATGATGACAACAGCGGACAGCACAATTCCCAGATACAACTGCGGAGAGAGAGAACAGAAATTCATTTAATATCCAGCGCGTCAGTTCATTTGAGCTTTGTCTATGATCTAAAAGAGCATCTGAAAGAGGAGCTTGATGCAGCGGACATATTGACATGAAACTGGAGACAAGGAGGAGTTATTTCTGGACTGTGACGCTTGAAATAGACACTGTGTGATTTTCTGTTCAGTGTTTTGGACTTTATGACCTAAAAGCTGTCCATGTGTTATCTGTCTGCTCTCTAACAGGGCTTTAAGTTGACTACGCTAGATAATCCTGCATTTATAGACGCCCTGAAAAATCCAACATGAGCCTAAGGCCGGTGTGATGATAATGCCCTGTTGCTGACTTTTCACAGCTGCTGTTTGACCTCAGAGCTGCCTCCTGCTCTACAGCCTGGTGTGTACAAAAACCTTATTCATAGAAAAATTTGTGTAAGCCCTCAGTCGTACAGGGATTAGTCAAAGCAAAGGAAGGTTTCTCACCCATCATCTGTACTTCTTAGCACGTTTTCCCGACGTTTCGTCCTCGACCTGGGGACTTCTTCAGGGAATGAATTCTCGGACCAGCGCGTTGGAGATTTATAACCTATGGGTGTGGTAAGCCACACCCTAATCCTGATACTAACTCGTAAACAATCTCAGGTCTGCTTGATGTAGAAGGGAGCAGGTCTAACGACCCTGCTGAGGCTAACGACCCTAACTCCTTAGCATGTCACAGACCTATTGTCTGCTGGGATGCTCAAGTAGAGTGCAGGTTTCACCCCTCCTAACTCATTAGCATGTCACTGACCTTGTCCCAAGTTAGGGCGTTGTTTTTAGGATGTCGTCATAGATGCGAGGCAAAACAAATCTTAACCCTCCTCCTCTGTTAAGAGAAGGTTTTTGTTTCCTCACAAAAATGGCTTCTTTCACCCCTCTCTCAAACCAATTCTTCTCCCGAGCCAGAATTTTAACCTCTGTGTCATCCACCGTGTGGTTGGAGGCCTTGAGGTGGAGATGAACAGCCGACTGTGGCCCACTAGAGTTTTCTCTACGATGTTGATAAAAGTCGTTTCTGTAGAGTTTGTTTGGTTTCTCCAATATAGTGGTCAGTGCACTCCTCTTCACTACATTTAATTGAATACACCACATTGCTCTGTTTGTGTCTGGGTGTTTTGTCTTTGGGATGCACTAATTTCTGTCTTAACGTGTTGAAAGGTTTGAAATACACAGGGATTTTGTGTTGCCTAAAGATTCTTTGTAGTTTCTCTGAAACTCCCGCCACATACGGTAAGGACACCCCTCTCCTCCAGACAGAAGAAAGTAGGAGGAGAGGGGTGTCCTTACCGTATGTGGCGGGAGTTTCAGAGAAACTACAAAGAATCTTTAGGCAACACAAAATCCCTGTGTATTTCAAACCTTTCAACACGTTAAGACAGAAATTAGTGCATCCCAAAGACAAAACACCCAGACACAAACAGAGCAATGTGGTGTATTCAATTAAATGTAGTGAAGAGGAGTGCACTGACCACTATATTGGAGAAACCAAACAAACTCTACAGAAACGACTTTACCAACATCGTAGAGAAAACTCTAGTGGGCCACAGTCGGCTGTTCATCTCCACCTCAAGGCCTCCAACCACACGGTGGATGACACAGAGGTTAAAATTCTGGCTCGGGAGAAGAATTGGTTTGAGAGAGGGGTGAAAGAAGCCATTTTTGTGAGGAAACAAAAACCTTCTCTTAACAGAGGAGGAGGGTTAAGATTTGTTTTGCCTCGCATCTATGACGACATCCTAAAAACAACGCCCTAACTTGGGACAAGGTCAGTAACATGCTAATGAGTTAGGAGGGGTGAAACCTTGAGCATCCCAGCAGACAATAGGTCTGTGACATGCTAAGGAGTTAGGGTCGTTAGCCTCAGCAGGGTCGTTAGACCTGCTCCCTTCTACATCAAGCAGACCTGAGATTGTTTACGAGTTAGTATCAGGATTAGGGTGTGGCTTACCACACCCATAGGTTATAAATCTCCAACGCGCTGGTCCGAGAATTCATTCCCTGAAGAAGTCCCCTTATTCATAGAAACTCATTCTTATGTCATACAAAATAATGACAAAGAGATTGCAAACTGTGGTATTCTAGGGTTTAAGCTTTATCTTTTTCTTCCACTCTTGCAACACTATGTAAAAAGGATGTTTTAGTAATATAAAGAAAGACATAGAAGCTGTAGCTGCAGGTTAGTAGTGTCATTGTTAAAGCAGATACTCTGACTAAGCACACATGCACCACTCTCCCTCTTGCCGCTGCCTGGATGTGACTGGTCGGTATGTGTCACTATCATACGTCTATTGTCTCTATTCAAACGATGACTTGACTAGATGTCACAACCTACTTACTACTGTCACAACAGCAGACACTGACCCACAGGACACAAACACACACACACATACTATTGTCCAGGGGTGAAAAGAAAGGGTCATGGTGGCTAAGGCAAGCTGGAGTTTTCCCAGCGAATGAAGGCGTCTGATTGGTCTTATAAGGCTCATATCTGGGGTTTACAAAGACAATGTCACAATGTAAACACCAGGATCACAGAGACTGCAAAATGAGAGATTTTTATCAAGCCCAAAATAGTCAGTGTGACACAAACGTTACTTGCGTTTTGCTGAAGCTTTTTGCAGAGAATTAACCACAAACTTAAATATTATTGCTGTACTATTGATAGTTCTTGTTGGTTCTGTGACTGTGTGGTTCGGCAACATCACAGCCAAAGAAAGCAGAGCTCTAAACCAAGTTCTTGGCTCTGAAAGAGGACTGTAAGCTGTGAGACCAGAGAGAGGCCAGAGAGAGACAAGAGAGAGAAGAGACCAGAGAGAGGCCAGAGAGAGACAAGAGAGAGAAGAGACCAGAGAGAGACAAGAGAGAGACAAGAGAGAGACCAGATAGAGATCTCGGATAGACCAGATAGATACAAGAGATAGAGACCAGAGAGAAACCAGAGAGAAACCAGTGAGAAAGCAGAGAGAAAGCAGAGAGAAAGCAGAGAGACCAGAGAGAGAACTGAGATAAACCAGAGAGAGACCAGAGAGAGACCTCTGAAAGAGTACTGTATGCTGCCTGTACTGGAGGTTCTTTATGAATCCAGACTCTTAAACTGAGCTCTTAAAATAATCAATGACTCTTCTGGCCCGTGGAAAAGCCATGTTCCAGCCTCCTCCTTCTGGCAGAAGATATCGTTGAGTGAGATGCAGGGCATCTGGTTATGTTACAGCTTCTTTCGACAAGCTATTATCAGTCTGAACAAATCCCTTGTTCCTTCACTTGTCTTGAAACTAGTGACAGCGACAATTGAACTTGTACTTTTTATCTTGTTTTATTACTTGTCTGGTGCACACTGGGGTATTTTTGCGCATGTATTCCAATGTGGATTTACTGGTGGTTTTTAAATAAACTGAATTTGAGCAAGAGGAGTACACTTTCCGATGTAAGTCAATAGGAGCCAGAGCAAGTCAAGACTTTGAACATGAGTACTCCCCTATTGGGTTACATAGAGCTAGTGAATTAGCATTGTCCTAGACTCACATTGTCTCCAGCCGGGTCGTCCTCGGTGGCGGCCTGAATGGCGTAGGCTAAGAAGCAGAGAATGGCTCCAATCCACAGCAGGACGGAGAAGCCTCCGAAGAGCTGGCGGCAGAACTTGACCCACTCTGGGGTGGTGGGGGGCGGGGTCAGCGCGTTGGGACCGTCCCGAGCTAGGTACTCCGCAGCTCGGGCGTTGGTCAAACCCTGTGTGGGACGAATTGACATGAGGACCAGAGCTCTGACAAAGCATGAGGTCAGTGTTACGCACCTGGACGATGTCAGTGTTGTACTTCCTGCAAACCTCCTCCACAGACATTTTGTGTTCCATCTAAGAATGAGGGAAAGGTTTTATGTCAAAGACTAAAGTACAGCTCATTCATAAGTATAATCATTTTTTGTCAAAAAAGTGAGCAGTATAGCAGTTCCTTGTTGATCGCTGGAGTTACATAAAAAAAAAAACAAACATACATTAAGCGAAAACCTTTAAGTGGCGGCTTTTAAATTGTACATAATAAATCTTGCACAAAAGAGACTATATTTTATGAGGAAGATCAGAGAGAAACCAGGGATATACCAAAGAGAAAGACCAGAGAGAGACCAGAGAGAGACAGACCTGTGAGAGAATGAACTAATCACTGCGGTGCACACAAGCCACCAACGTTTTCTTCTATCTTTAAATAAAGGTACCGGTAACTGTTATGTTATACTAGCTGTTACATGATGTTGTTTTAGAGAATACAGGGGTGAACCGTGTTATATTGAGGGACTTGCACAGCAGAAGTACTTTCATACTTCATTAAGGCCCCCTTTAGATTTACAGATCTCAAAGTGGAACGATAGTTTTGAAAGAAAAATTTATAAAGCAAGACTAAGGGAAACACAAATTGTAAAATGAAATGTCTGTGCCAGACATTATTCTATAACAAGTATAATATATATTATAAAAACACAAGGTCCCATTACAGCGTGTCCCTCCCACCATTACACTCCTTTGGGAGGGTTAGGGGTTTGCTGTTTCATATGTTAATCCAGGGAAAGTTATGTTTTGGAGACAAGAGTAAATCCCCTTTGTACCAGGATTAAAAACTCAAATGAAGTGAAGTGGAGTTAAAGCCAAAGCAGCTGCTCAGATTAACTCATGCTCGTGTCCAGTTCTGTTACACTGGGACGTCCAGCCTCAGAATCCTGGAGCGTGGACTACTTTCTCCTGCGATTCGATTATCGATATGCATTTGCCAAGTATCGGTATCGATTTTTTTTTTTTTTAATTGGTATCAATACTTAATATATGGCTACATTACGCATCTCCATTCCATTTATCATGAAACAAAGTGTATTTTTTATTTTATTTATGCCATAAATTTGCATATTGTCTATTTCTGACCAATATATCAATAATCGTCATATCGTGATAAAATCGTTATTGTGATAATATCGTTATCGTGATAATATCGTTATCCTGAGCTTTGTATCGTGTATCGTATCGTATCGTGAGGTACCCTTAGGTTCCCATCCCTAGCGTGGACTTTAAATTTATTCACCAAACACATTTGTTAAATATATAGAACAGGAATGATTGAGCAAATATTTCATGCAAAAACAATTTTTTTCTAAAAGTTAAAACTAAACCGCTGTGACACAATCTAGTATTGAATACCAGTGATGATATTCTTTAAAAAAAATTCAAACTCGGTGCAGATCTTTGGGTATCGTTGCCATGATCTGTTCAGATGACATCCTAATTTCAAATCATGCAAGGGGCTCAAAGATTGCCGGATTATAACCCAGAAAGTGAATATAAGGCAGAAGTGTAAAAGTTTAACTCAAATTGCTCATTTGTAATTAGTTACTTCCAGGATAATAACCTGAAAAAACACAATTGGACTCATTTTGTAACAGGTGATCTCTGATTCTAGAGGAAAACATTACTTTTTGTGGTTTATTATTATGATCGTTAATTTTTTCAGCCCCTTCACTGGAATCTGCACATGTCTGGTCTCGGCAACTATTGAAACAATACAATACACTCACCTTTATATTTCATTATATTATAAACATTCAAATCTGTTGGGACTGTCTGCTTGGTACAGAGGACTGTGTGGCACACGTGTTAGAATAGTGTACGTACAATGGGGACTTCTTTCTTGAGGTCATCCAGATCCTTGCCTCCTTTCTTTTTGGGTGATTCTTTCTCATCCTTGTCCTGCGTGGTGGCCACGCGGTAACTGTCCGACCGTCCATACTGCAACACACAACACAGAGCACAGGTAAGACCATAGGAAGGACACAGAGTAAACTTTTAAACAATGATGCCCAGTTAGCGTATCTTGGATCCAATTCATGTAGGAGTCAACGGCAATGCTGAGAGAAGGTCTGACAGTTAGGGTTAGTCTCCCATACTGTCACATTGAGATGGTAAATACTAACGCAGCAGCTCTTTAGTCAACTCCTTGGGCAATGATTGCATTGCCCAAGGAGCATTATATCACATGGACCACAACAGAAAGGGTAATGTTGGAAGTGAAGAGGCAGGATATCTGAGGGTTTCTGCATAATTCAATCTGTAAAAGAGTAGTAAGTTTGGAAGACAAATCTGAGCCACACTAACGTTTGCTATTTTGCTGAACACAAATCTGCACACTTGTGTTTCCTTGCTTGTTGTCAATAAATCAATGTTAAAAAGAACACAGAGAACCAACCGAATATAGAATAATAATGCGCCTCAGGTCGATGACATTCTCTTCATAAATAGGCCGCGGTGAGAGTCGGCTGGATCCAAACATAGCTGGAGTGAGGAGGGTCTGTCTCGAGAGCTTCACTTCTACACAACTGTATCTAGGCCAGTACCATTCATCAGCTCATAGACTGATCTCAGAGACATCACTCATAATCACATCGCAAACGTCACTCTGGGCTGGAAACCCGCTCACGGGGAGGACAACTTAGCAGGGACTGAGCAGCCACCGATTCATCATGTGGCAATAGTGAATAAACCAATGAGCATTAGACGGAGATGACTTGACCACTACTTTGTTCTTTACAAACCCGGTACATTTACTAGCAAAGATGATAATAATACATCAATTCAGGAGATATGGATGTAGCGGAAACCCAACCATCAACTACAATCAGATCGCCTATCTATCCAAAATGGAACATTGCCTTATTTTGTCCATAACACTGGTAGTTCTTTTGTTCTTCAGTTTATTGTCATGTGGACTTAACAACCCAAACTGGCCTCCAAAAGTGAGTACCAAAAGATGAATATAACAAAAAAGGCCATTACAGCAATGCTTTATATGGTGAGCTGGAGTGTAAAGGTAAATTGAGTACTTGAATACTGGTAAAATATTGGCTATTAATTCAGCAACCAGATTTCCAAGTAAATTTAAGAGTGACTAGATATGTTTACTTAGTTAATTGTAAACGGGTTTAAGATTTTAAATAGTGATGAATTTAGTTAAATTCCACAATATATGGCACAAGCAAACAAACTGCTGGGATTATTTGGTTCCAAATCAAATCAGATTAAGATTGAAATTTATTTTATCAAGATTTTTCTTTTTAAATTGGATTAATCAGTGGGCGCAGCTATGACTAAACTGCCAGACTGTGGAACACTATTCCTTCTTACTCCAACAGACAGAAACATCTTCACCAGAGTCTGAAACTGTGGCTGATATCAGAGCAAATTCTACATTTGATTAAGTCTTTTATTTGTGCATTTGAATGTGTGCATTCATGTCCTAAGGTTTAATATTAACATGGTCTTGCATTTGGTCTGTTCAATGTAAATAGATAAATATATACTGTACATACATATACACATACAATGTATAAAAAAGACAGATATATTCTCTTTATATCTGTCTTTTTATGTCTGTCTAGATATAACTCTTGGTTAATAATCATGAGACTCATGTGACAATTAGCAGACAGCAGACGGCCTCTAAGCTGAAGGACGGTTGGACATGTTTGGACACATTTAGGCGAGTTAGAGCCGCAGAGTCACAACAGCATGAGGAAAACCATTAACCACAAGACCTGCAGTTAGAGCCTGGAGCTGAGCCAAGCATGAGCGATCACAAGAAAGGAGAGAGAGGAGAGGAGAGAGAAGAGAGAGGAGACAAAAGAGAGGAGAGAGAGGAGAAAGGAGAGGAGAGAAGAGGGAAGAGAGAGGAGAGAAATGAGAGGAGAGAGAAGGGAAAATAGAGAGGAGAGAAAAGAGAGGAGAGAGAGGAGAAAGAAGAGGAGAGAGGAGAGAATAGAGAAGGGGAAGAGAGAGGAGAGAAATGAGAGGAGAGAGAAGGGAAAAGAGAGAGGAGAAAGGAGAGGAGAGAGAAGAGCGTTGAGAGAGGAGAAAGAAGAGGAGAAGAGAAAGAGGAGATGAGAGAGAAGAGAGAAGTGAGAAGAGAAGAGAGAAGTGAGAAGAGAAGATAGGAGAAAAGAGAGAAGGGAGAAGAGAAGAGAGGAAAGACACAGACCAAATGAGAACATTAAGAGCACACTGTATTGGGCTGGTGTCTATGAATTATACTTACTTTCATGTCTGTAATCAATAGAAATTCCTACTAATCATAATCATTAGTGTACTTCACTTGTACTATGCAAACTCTGAAAATTAGTAATAATTCAAAAGTGACATAAACCAAGACATAAGTTGATGATTATGGATTATCGTTCATTTTCAACATACACTTTTATCAACATTCTTACAAATCCAGGTTTTTTATCTCACTTGTAATGAGTCAATATATTAGCTTCATATTGCAAGCTAAACAACTGTGTTCTGCCATTGTGTGGTGTTGTGTTTCAGGCTTGGCTCCTGTTGGGTGTGGTCTCTAGTTTCACTGATCACTGCGATAAAAAAACACTCAAAACTGCTCTCTACACGTCGTCAAATTGTTCCGTCTTCCACCGTGGTGAAGAGACCTTTTGCCTAAGACCTTTTGTGATTTTGTGACCTATCTTTTGATTTTGTATTATTTATATTTCCATTGCCTGCACTCAGCCCCCCACAGGACCAACTCTCCCCTTAGGTCTCTTCAGTCAATCCTGCTGCACTTTTTGTTTTGTTTTGCCCTTTATGTGTCTGCATCAGTCCAAACAGTAAAAGTAAAAGTAGGGGAAATATACCGGTATGTGTGGGTAAAGCTGTTTAATACAACGTTTGCTCTTCTGTCTGTCCGCTCTGGTCCCTCTCTCTTTAGCTCACAGCTTATTGAACTCAAATATGCTACACAGTGACATGTCGCCGTAATGTGTTTGCTTCATTAGCTGTGGATGAAGCATGTTTCCATTAACGCAGCAGTAATAGGAACCAGCAGCTGTAGGTCAGACGTGACGCTGGGAAAGATGGATTTGAGCGACAGTAAATAGTGAACGGGAGAAAGAGGTGGAGGTTGACGTTGCTTCACGAGAGTTATATTTTAGCGACAGTAAATGGCAAATGGGAAAGAGAGGTGGAGGTTGACATTGCTTCATGAGAGTTATATTTTGGGAAAGCTCTTACAGGGATTATTCCGGCCTGCGGGGGATTGTTCTGATTTGATGGTTGTTCGATTCAGGACTAAAAATAAAAAGGCAGATGAAGAGTTGCAGCAGCAGACAATAATGTTCTGAGGTTTGCTTTGAACACAGCTGGAACATAGCATTCTGTTTAGGGATTGATGTTTCTAAATTTGAAATATTTTTTTCTCTTGGGCTACAATTCAAACATGAGCTAATTAAATCTCTCATGCTCAGCCTGTGGGTGCAGACTAATAAATGAGCTAATTCTGTATCTATGTGACTATGCTATGAACATTATTATTTTAAATTGGGAGTAAACATGAACTACTAACTATAACTAAAAGGTATGAAATGTTTCACACAAACATGAACACTTTCAATTCACACCTGGTTTATCCACAGCTGATGAATCTTGTTTAAATCTATGGAAAACTAATACATTTACATAATTATAATAACAAAAAACCACATTATTGTCCCAAGGATCACAGTCACGACTGTGACCGAGCCAACCTCGGTCACAGTCTGACTCCTTATTATAGTGAAACCAGTGGTAAGGAGGAGCCAAGGACTTGTTTTGACTCACAGATTTATCATGAATCATGTTTGTGTTAAACTTCAGTCAAAAATGAAATGAAATAAGCAGTGTTGACCAATGGGCCATGTTTAGTCTGTTCTTTGCAGTGGGCAACTTGATACTTTACAAATAAACCCACAAAGCCTCTCAACACAGTGCTGGCTCCACTCCACTGTCGACCGGTGACATTTAGGACACATTTTGACATAAAGGACAGTGCTCTGTGGTCCTAGAGCAGCTGTTCTCTCTGTCCTCTGTCACGAGAGCATTTCAAACCCTTACTAAAGACTACAGACACTCTCCATTTTAGTTAAAGCCTATCTTGGTGTTTTATTGTGAGTGGTATTGTGTCTTTACTAAAAACTTTGGTTGTTTTTAAATGTATACAAATAATCAAATAATAAGTATCAAATAATCAAATCAATCAAATAGATTAGACATAGAGCACACAGAGGTACCTGCTCTGTCCTCACTGCAACAATATTTTAAACAAAAAATTGTATTACCTTTTATTAATCAAATATCCTTTTACCTATTTTACTTGTATGTGTGTGTTTACTGCATGTATCCGTGTGTGCGCGCGTGTGTCCATCTGTCGGGGTGCATGGCCCCCCAACTCTCTGTCACTAAACCTTCAGATTACTGCTGTTTACCCCGGACTCAGATTAACCCACTGAACAGTTATAATCCTCATGACTCTCTCTACTCATCACCGACATACAACAAACATGTGACACAAACGTGTGACATCAGTGGCATCCACCCAACCCTGTGAGTAAACCATCTGACAGCTTACTATAATATCTGAAGTGTGACATCACTCACTGAAGTCTACAAAAGTGACAATCCCATTTGTGAATACTGTTTATTATATGACTGTTCTTTTTGTGGTTCATTTCTCACACAAAGTGCAACATTATGACTGTCCTACATCTTTAGTTTAACACCTTCCTTGTCTTTGCCAATGGTCTCTTTAATATATAGTGGCTGAACCTTTTATAATTTTTTCTGGACTTCCACAACAGCAGCAGAAGCAGCAAGACATGGGAAGTAGTCAATAAAGTAACAGAACAGCAAGGATTCACATTGAGCTAGGATTCACAATGATGATGTCATCAAAATAATAATTATTGTAATAAGGGACCTGGTGTTCC